GTAGCATCCCGAATCAGTTTTCGCAAAATAAATATTTTATTTATTTATTCAGAAAATTGCGAAAAACGCGTACTCTGATAGTAGTAAAAAAGTCGGGATGTTACAGGCCAGCCCGCCGAGCCCGCGGCCCATGGCGGGGGTGGGCCGGGCTGGCCATTTTGCAGCCCGCCAGGATGGCGGGCAGGCTCGCCCCGCCTCGCCAAATGGCGGGTTTTGGCGGGCTACGGGCTAGCCCGCCCCGCCAGCCCGTTTTGACATCTCTAAGAATACATATAGGAGATGATACAGGTAGGAGATGGAACTTAAAAAGAAGCTACTTGAATATAAACTCAGACCATCTATGTTGGGAGTGGCACCCTAGTGGAAAATTCTCAGCAACATCTACCTATTCCAAACTCATTGAAGATTATTGGAGACAGATGGATGTTGAAGATTATTGGAGACAGATGGATGTTGCTGAATCCAGATCCTCGCAACTGGAGATGAAGAAAGTTAGAAGAAGAACTTGGGCTTTGAGAGTTAAAAGGAAAACTAAGACATTTTATCTGGAAAAGTTTCAACAACTTGTAAACCTCCAGTCAAGAGTAGCCATAGACACCAAATGCAAGTTTTGTGGGGAAGAGAGTGAAACTCAAGAGCATATATTCTTTGCCTGTAGTAGAGCCCAACTCATGTGGAAGCTTGATCCAGTATCATGGGAAGGACTTCAGTCAGAAACTACCTCCTTCAAACAATGGTGATCCAAGCTGAGAAAAGAATGCAACTCTCTTGCTACTTGCTTTGGTGGATGTGGGAAACTCGTAACTTGTTTTTAAGAAGACCTGGAGATAAGAGAAACACACAATTTCACTTGCTTAGAAGCAGTGGTCTGTCTTTCTTTCATCCCTAGGTAGTTTAGTCTTTTTTTTTTTTTCAGTCTTGTTCTGCTGTCTTGCTTGTATTAGGTTTTGTTTGTTTGCTAAGTCCTGTTGGGAGTGCAGTGGCAAACTAATTTTGCTAGCAGGTTTTGTTCTTGTACTGCTTGGGTTCATATATGCATCTCAGATTCAAAAGCTCGACTTTGCCAGGAAGTAGTGATTATATACTTTAGTTAGGAGTGATGGGTCCTTCTGTGTTGTATGGCCTCGGTGCCCAAAATTCTGTTTTATTGTTATATATTCTCTCGTTTCGAAAAAACAAAAAAAAAAAAGGTCAGAATGTAAGCTCCCACCACCTTCTTATTACAATGAAATACACAAAGGCAACAACAATGCATTCAGAGACTTGCACACTCAACCTGAGTTTTCTACGGTTTCACGTATTACATAATTTGACTCGGACTCACCTAATTACAAAGACCCCAAATGAATGTTTCGAACCAAAAAAAAAAAGATAATGAACATCACTCTTCTCCCGGTGGAAGGGAAACAATGCCACGTCTGTATCTATACTTATATTAAAAGTTATACTATTTACTAAATGTAGTATGTAGAATAGTCAACTCTAATTAATGATTTGCTATTTTTATCAAGCATTTAATTAATGTATCTAATATTTTTGATATACAAATCAAATTAGCATTTAATTAGTTCCTAAAATATTGGGTATGCAATATTAATTTAGGAATATCCATGTAGTTCCTAAAATGTTGATATGAAATACGTAAAAGAAGACTTTTTAATTTTTTTAAATATAAAATATTGCAATACGTAAAACTATTCCAGTTATTTTTTATTTTATTTTACATATAAAATCTAATCAATATTTAATGCATCCTACAAAATTTGATGGAAATAAAAAAAAATACGTAAAATCTTTACTAAAATAAAAAAAAAAATGTTTTATTCATTATCTAATTGTATAGAAATTTGTTCTGATTTTATGGTACGTACTACAAATTATGCACCCGTGTTCAGGAGCTACATAACGGGCAAGCTCTGTGGAAATAACTCATTTAGTGCTTTTGTCTTGTGCATATTATACATACTAGAAAATTGTGCACCTCGTGCATCACACGGACTCTATACTAATAAATGACCTTAAAATTGTGCACCCCGTGCATCACCCGTGTACACATTTTGGCCTATTACATGTCACGTACTATATATATCCCGTACATTTTTTTTATTCATTTATAAAATTATAAGACTTGATAAATGACTTTTGTGCGGCCCGTGCATCGCACGGGATCGGTATTAGTTACAGTTTAACCGGCAAACACTTGACCCGGTCAAAATCCAAAACCACAATTTAAATAATTACCTTATTTTACAAACAAAGAGAGCAGCAGATATCTAGGGTGATATTGCAACAACACACTATGTATCGAGGCTCAAGGGCTTATCGACCCACTCATTCTCAGCAACTATCCGGCCTGAACCGCGGCCCATTTTTCCGAACGAGCCTATAGCAGATAAACCCTTGAAGCTGCTACTCCCTTCGCTCGAGTTCCTTGACCTCCAAGATTTGCGGGGCTTTGTGAAGCTGCTTATGTCACGCTCCTTTTCTTTTCCAGTTTCAACATTGGCAACAACTAGTCTTACAATGTTGCTCCTGCAGAAGGGGCAAACGGGCACCGAGGGGCAAGCGGTTGACGGGTTCGGCTTATTGTGGCAGCACAAGGCAAGCGTGCAGTGGGCACACATTTGGTGCCCGCACTCTTGGATCTCGATGCCACATGACCCGTTGAAACATATGCAGCAAAGCTCCGTCTCACTAACCTGAATAATATATATAGTTGTTTGGTAAAAACACAAGACATATGAACACGATAATATACCAAAAAAATCCAAAAAGAAAAGAAAAAATAATAAATATATAAAAGTAGTAAGAAAAGAACTACCTCAGACACATTATCAGTCTCAGGGTCAGATGCTGATGGTGATAGCATTGAGTAAGCCGTTCCCTTTAAGATGGCCTTTTCCCGCTCCCTGTTAGCCTCCATAAGTGCATTCTCTAGAAGGCTTTTTGCCTCGTCATTAAGCTCACTTATGAATTTTAAAGGTGAAGGCCAAACAAGGGGCTCTGCGGATGAGGGATTCAGCAAAGCTGCACATGCTCCATGCTTATTCCTTAAAGCTATTGTGTATGGTATTCTCCTAAACCATGTTAATATTGTTAGGTCTACATTTTAAGAAGACTTTCTTCACTCAAATAAAGAAACCTAGAAATAAGAAAATGCAATAGACAATTGAGTCGGAAGAACAAATGAGCTAGATGTTCAGCGTTTTCTGCAAAACAAGGTTGGGAGAAAAATTCAAACAACATGAATAGATAGATTCTCATTAAAAGGAATTTCATTGTTAATACATTTTTTGTACAGTAATCACTAGGCGAAAAAGCTAAAAGCTTCTCATTGATTCATAGCGACACAAATACTCAGTGTTGTCAAAGTAATTCGGGAGGGAAATAGAAAAATACGAATACCCGGATGCATCTCTTTGAAGCCGGTCAGCACCCCAAGCAAGCAATTCTCTTATACAATCAAGAGAACCACTTCTTGCAGCCAAATGAAGGGGTGTGCTACTCGGAAAGCTGTATAATGGAGGGGAAGAAAAAAGACCAATCAGGAAAAATCATTTTTCACAGGGAAACACAAAAGGTAAAAGACCGATAACCTGAAACTCAAAAGGTACTATACCCATATCCACTTGTTAAAGCACAAACGAGAGCTCCACTGTCCAACAACACGTGAACACATTCAGGCCGCCTTTGACGGGCTGCCAAATGCAACGGTGTTGCCCCTTTTCCATCTCTAATGTTTACGAAACGAGAATATCCCCTATAAATATTTCGGTTCACATAACAACAGATCACACGCTCAGGAGAAGAAAATGGAAATGAAATTTCTGGTGCAAATCACAAAATCAATCAAGAACAAGAGCCTACCAAGAAGAAGCCACTTGGGAGGTTCTGGCTGCAGAAAGTATGAGTCCAAGGCAATCCGAGTGGCCATTGTATGCGGCGTAATGCAAGCACGTTCTTCCGTTAAGTGAATCAAATATTAAAATCTGAATCCAGAGGAGGTTCCAAAGTCATGAAAACATATATTGAGACTTGTTTCCTAGCTACTTTATAAATTAGATAGCAAGGGCTATCAACTGACGAATATGATGAGTCAAGTCACTGAACATACATTAGCACCAGCTTCAATTAGCTTCATCACACAGGAGATCTTGCCATGCATTGCAGCCAACATTAATGGAGTCTACACATAAACACGAAGAAAGAAGAAAGGATAACCAGGTTGTCAGAATGAAAGTCTCATCAAGATCAAACCAACCATTCTCATACTAATGCACTTAAAAAGAACACAAAAACACACATCACATGTATGCTATATATAATCACATAAACGGGACAGCACAAATGGACCTGCTTGTGACGATTTAACAAATCCGGCTTCACAGATCGGTCCAGAAGCAACGAAAGAACCTAAACCCACCAAAAAAAACCCCGTATACAAATCAAAAAAGAGGCACAACGTTTTATAAATCAACAAAAAAAAAAAAAAAAAAAATGTTGTATCCCAATAGAATGTAACCTCGATCTGGCCATGGACAGCAGCAATATGCAAAGCCGAGTTGCGATCGTAGGCCGTGTAATGGTGAACAAAAGTGGAATCCCTTTCCAATACTTGCTCAACGGTTGCTAAATGCCCAAACCGAACTGCAATAAAATATTCCTTCTCTTCATTACTTCCGCAGCTAAGCCCCTGACCCATTAATACTATCCTCTTCCTTTTTTTCTTTTTTTTTTTGTTCTTTTTTTCAACTCAAACAATTATGCTTTGCATATCTTTAACACGTACGGGTGGTGGTGCACCGGCGGCCTGGCCTGAGAGATGCACCACCGTTGGAGGTGGGTAGTGTTTGCCTGAAAGGGAAAGTGCAGTCCTTACTGCTACTTTTATATTTGTATATATATATATAAATTGTGTGATGATGCATATAAAATAATGGTGAGCTGCCCGGGGATGGGTAAAAGGTGTCGGGCGATTGCTGACCGTGGTCAGCACTGGTGTTGATGGGGGCAGTCATGAGATATTTCCCGGGCAGACATTCTTATCAATAAAAATATTCATACAGCTGACTGCTCAAAACTAGTGCGTGTTGGACTTGGACCTGTGTTGGTCAATGCGTTATCAGGAAAAGAAATGAAGCGAGAA